GTGTGTGACGTGTGTGTCTGTTTGAAGGGCTCAGTACTGGACAATGTCTGAGATTGGTCAACTGCGACCTAGGCCAAGATTGAAGCCTGGGCCTTTCCTACTCTGTGTATGTTTGTGTGTTTCATTGAGTGGACTACTTTGGATGTGAGACAGACTGAGAACTAGGCCAGGATTAAAGCCTGGGCCTTTACTGCACTCTGCATGTGCATGTGTGAGTGTGTGTGTGAAGCCTGGGCCTTTCCAGCACTCTCTCCGTGTGTGTGTATATCCCTGTGACGGTACCACACTGGGTGTGAGACTAACTGAGAACTAGGCCGGGATTGAAGCCTGGGCCTTTCCTGAGTGCAGGGGCCCTCCCTCGCACACGGAGATTGCTGCAGCGGCCGTGTGATTAGCTCCTGGCAGCCGGTCCCTCCCTGCCTTCACTCACACAGGATTTCTTTAAGGATATTTTGCTCCATTCGTCCATTCCGATGACTTCCTCCTTCCAGGCCTGGCCCTGGTCTGCCAGCAACATTCTCATCGCTGAGCAGCGGCCTGTGTGTGGGGAGGGGTGGGGGAGGACAGAGAGATGGGAACCACAAACACACCGACAGTGAGACCATTGGAGCGCACGGAAACACTCTGCATTCATTACCCCCCCTGCACCGTCCACCTCCCCACAGTCACCGTGACCCTCCCCAAACACAAGGCGGGGTTTCGCTGGGATCTTACCTCGCACTGGAAAGTAGGTGATGGTGTAAGGTGGCACTGGAAGAGAAAGAAGGACATCAAAGGGTTAAATTGGGTTCCACAACTGCCCCAGGTCCCATTGCAATTACCCCCTGGGTGGGAGAGAGAGAAAAACAGAGAGAGAGTGAGATAGAGACAGAGAGAGAGACAGAGAGAGAGAAACAAAGAGAGAGTGAGAGAGAAACTGAGAGAGACAGAGAGAGAGAGAGAGAGAGACAGAGAGAGAGAGAAAAACAGAGAGAGTGAGAGAGAGACAGAGAAACTGAGAGAGACACAGAGAGAGAGAGAGAGAAAAATAGAGAGAGAGTGAGAGAGAAACAGAGGGAGA